GGGCTCCCTGGCGGCGGCGACTTCCGGGGGGCGGCGCCGCTCTTCCAAAGCGCTCTTTTCTCCCTGCTAGGCCCTTTCCCCGGGTTCTGCCTCTCAGCCCGGAGGAGGCCACTCCTACAACACTTCCCAAGGGCCCAGCCCATAACCCCGAGTGCCCTCCCTGCACTGTCCCAGCCCGGAGTAGATCCCTAATCCCGAGAAACTCAGACCCCTTTCCCGAAGGAAGTTCCTCGCTCTACTTCTCGACCAGGCGCTCCTTTTACACCTGACTCGGCCTCACGCGCCACGCCTTGCCCCCTCCCCGAAGTCCCCTCAGACGCGGCCCGGGCCCTGCCCTCCCCGCTCGGCTGGTCGCTTCTGCTCCCCACAGGTCTGCGCTCCTCCAGCCCCCGTCCCGGGCGTCCGACTCAGCCTCGGAAGGGCGCGGCGCGAGGTAAGGGGCGCGGGCTGGGAGTCGCCAGGTGCACGCCTCCCGGTTCCCCAGCCCTGGGTTTCGCCCTTTCTGTAAGCGCGTGGCAAAATGCGGTTTTGGAAGTCACGGTGGCCGAGTGGTTAAGGCGTTGGACTCGAAATCCAATGGGGTTTCCCCGCACAGGTTCGAATCCTGTTCGTGACGGCTGTTCTTTTTCGCTTCACTACGGATAAAGGAAATCCCGGTCCTCGCACTTTCTTGCACTTCCCTTTCGTTCTCGAAAGGGGAAACCCAAAGGTCACACCCCTGCCTAGAGGAGGCCGAGGGTGATCCTGGAAATTAAATTATGCAGCACTGTGTTGGCTGATAGGATGTGAAGCTTTAAAAAAATTCTCTAACTTGCAGTTTGTTAGCAGAACTGTTATAAGGCTCATTCTTTTGAGCGGACAGCAAAGAAATTGGGTAAAGAGTTTGGGAATGTGATTGTTCAGCAAGAACAGTCAACCCGGGAGTTTGTAGGAAAAGGGAGCCTTTGAATTTCGTGACTGGAAGTCCTACCTTGTGTATCCGCTGACCCTGAAGACTCAGAAAATGGCATCCTGTCACTTCTTGAGGCTTGTCAGGTAGGCAGGGCTGGGTGGGGATTACTGAAACAACCTCTGCAGCTACAAGTGCGAGAGTAACTTTCTACTGGGTGCTCGCCATGCGCCAGGTACTGTTTTAAATTCTTTGTGTTTTGGGCAAGCTACGGAATTTTCTTCTCTAACCTCTAAACTCCCTTCAGTCACATCATCCAGTCCTTGATCTGTTGTTAATGGGCTTTTTGCACTCTGTGTGTGTGTGTGTGTGTGTGTGTAAAGGGTGGGAGGAGAAAAAGCAAGACCTTAAGACACTAGGGGTGCTGTTAGGATGGGGGCTTTTAATTCCAGACGGAGTCTTGTTAAATTGCTAAGTAGCCCAGGTTGGGCTGATCATGCGATTCTCCTACCTCCGCCTCCCAGAGTGCTGGGATTACAGAACTGCACCACTCCTTCCAGCCTTGTACCTCATTTCTCTTACAGTGGCATCTTCCCTAAGGATCGCAGAGAGCAGGGGGCTCAAGAGAAATTGAGCTCTCCTCACTCTGCCAGCTATTGCTGAGCAATTCTCCTTGGACCCCTCCTCCGCTATCACTGATCATTCCAGCTGGAGCCCATCAGTCAGCCAGCAGCATTTGCCAAGTTGCATGCAAGGAATTTCTTGACATGCTTCTACAAAATTAAAACAAGTTCTATTTACCATTCTGCCTTCTACATATGTTTCAAGTCAATCTACTTTTCTAAGGGGAGTGCAGGTTGGGCCTACTGCTTTGCCAGGATGATTTTTTTTCCCCCAGCTCTGGGGATCAAACTCAGCGTTTTGCACACGCTAGGCAAGTGCTCTACCACTGATCATCCACCCTAGCCCAAGTTAATGTGTATTGAACGGCACTGAGGCATCCACAGTAGCTGCCCTTAAGCCTACCTTGCTATGGCTTTTTTGTACAGTATCACATGATCTAAGAGAAGAGACCTTTTCTCTCACTACTCTTCCACTTTATATTCCACATAGCAACATTCTCTTATTTTTTGAGACAGGATCTTGCTGTGTGACCCAGGCTGGCCTTGAACTCAAGGTGATCTTCTCAGCCTCCAGGGTGCTGGGATGCACCACCACACCTGGCACTTTTATTTTCAGCAGTATTCTTTTATTTTCCAATAGAGTTATTTGGCCTTGTTCATGTCTTGGTAGGGTGAGGCGGGAGGATTGAGTTCAAGGCCAGTTTGAGGCCTTAAACTACCAAGACCCTGTCTCAAAAAAAAAAAAGCTATGCAGTTTTTAAAATTTTGTTGTAGCCTATAGCCTGGTAGTACATGCCTGTAATCCCACCACTCTGGAGTCTGAAGCAGGAGGATTAAAAGTTCCAGCCTAGCCTGCACAATTTAATAGTTTAGCAAGACCCTATCACAAAATTAAAAATGGGGTTTTAGTTCACTGAAAAGTAAATGAATGAAGTTTTGTTATGTAAATAAGTGCTATTACAAACCGGGCGTGGTGGCTCACGCCTGTGATCCCACGATCACTCAGGGAGGCTGAGGCAGGAGGATCGCTGTGAGTTTGAGACCAGCCTGGGCTACATAGTGAGTTCCAGTTCTGTCTCAACTACATAGTGAGACCCTGTCTCAAAAAAACAAACAAAAAAAATAAGTGCTTTTACAGTAATTACACATACATATTTTGATTTTTTTTTTGTACTAGGGATCGAATTTAGGACATTGTGCTTGTGAGGCAGGCGGCAGAATCACTGAGCTAAATCCCTGATCATATATACATATATATATATATACATATATATATGTATATATACATACATATATATATGTATATATACATACATATATGTGTATATATACATATATATATACATATACATATACATACATATATACATACACATATTTTAATTTTCACCTGGACTGGATTATAAACTGAGTTAGTACTGTGTACTTTACATATTTTCTCTAAGGCCTTATGCATAGATGTGATCAAATATATACTGAAATACTTTTTATGATTACATATCATCTAAGCTCATTTTCTAGTATTGAAATAATTTCATAGAATGTAATTGTCTCAGTACTGTATTGTGCTCCCAGCACATCCCATTTTGCTCTTGCTCTGTTATCTGGAGAGCCAAGACCAAAACTGACCAGCAGAGGGCAACCAACAACCATGTTGTGAAAGGGAGAATAAACCCATGGTTTACAAAATGGAGGCTCTAGGCTTAGTCTAGACCAAGAATGGGAATACAGTAGAGGTAGTTTGGTACCTGAAGGTCATCTTTTGCATTCTCAGATGCTTCTCTTCTAACTTTAAGGACAGGCCAAGGTTTTGAACCTTTGTGTATGATAGGTAATTTCAAATTCCTACCATCCCTCTAGGTCCACACCCCTTTTCATCCCAACAGGTCATCTTTTTATCTTTATGTTACTTGATCTGCCTTCCTTCTCCCCATTCTTACATATTTACAGTCCACCTACTGCTTCAGTTCCTGCTTTAGAGTTTGGCTTTGCTTATCTTCCCTGAAGTTACTGTCTTCACCTTGGCTTACAATACTACTTCAACCTCATAAGGAACTTTCTGTAAATATCCTTCCATAACACCTTGAAATTTTCTTATTCAACTGGATCAGTCATTCATTCAGAACAGACAAAACCTCACTACCATTTGATAATTCCAAATCACCAAATTGTTTTCTTTTTTTTGAGACAAGGTCTTGATATGAAATTCAGGCTGACCTTGAATTCTCAGCAATCTTCCTGCCACAGCCTCCCAAGTATGGATACAGGCATGCACCACCACGTTTAGCTGCTCTATAGTAACTACTATTATCTCAATTTCTTATAGTTTCCAACCTTAAGATTTCTTTGACATTTTCTTTTATCCTGTACCCATCACCTATCAGTTGCTTCCTCCAACATATATCATCTGAACTCATTCCAGGTAATAGGTATGCCACTTCAGGGTACCCCACTTCCATCCCACTTAAGTCCATCCTCCCCTAGCATTACTCTAAAACACTGCTTCCAGCCGGGCATGGTGGTGCATGCCTGTAATTCCAGCACTCGGGAGGCTGAGGCAGGAGGATCGCTGTGAGTTCGAGACCGGCCTGGGCTACATAGTGAGTTCCAGGTTAGTCTCAACTATATAGTGAGACTCTGTCTCAAAAAAACAAAAAACTAAAATAAAAACAAAAAACACTGCTTCCAGTGCCTGGTGCACACCTGCAACCTCAGCACTCTAGAAGCTGAGGCAAGAGGATTGTCTCATGTTCAAGGCCAGCCTCAACTACATATTAGACCCTGTCTCAAAACAAAACATACTGCTTTCATCATAGTACTCCCATCCAGAACCTCAAATCCCTAACTAAGTACAAGCTCCTTTATTCACATACCCTGCCTAAATCACCTTTTTTTTCTTTTTAGTACCGGGGATCGAACTCAGGACCTTGAGGTTACAAGGCAGACTGCAGAACCACTGAGCTAAATCCCCGGCTCATCACCTATTTCTTTTCAATCCTTAACTTTTCCCAATAAGATGCTTCCCAGCTAAGTTGGTCATCTCCATATGACAGCCCAATTCGTGCCTTCTCTCATGAAGTTCCTTTTGTCTCTTGACCTTATAATCAACAAATACCACTCAACAATCTTTTCAGGTATAGATTTAGATCTAGTCAAAATTGCTTTTATATAATTTTTTTTAAAAAAGCTAACATTTCAAAAGCTTTTAATAATCTCCTCCCAAGTTGTTGGTTTGTCCCAAATTTTAAGAGGCTTAGCTAAATCTCTGCGGTTTGTGCTATAAAGCAAATCATTATAAGACCTCTGTTGAATTGACCTCAACCTATAGTTGTTTCAGGGATGGTACACAAAACATGTCTGGAACCCCACAGTTAATTTATGAGCCACATATTTTCTTTATGTGGTTTTTTGAGACAGGGTCTCGCTTTGTAGTTCAGGTTGTCCTTGAATTTACTATCTAGCCCAGGCTGGTCTTAAACTCACAGTGATCCTCTTGCCTTAGCCTCCCGAGTGCTGGGATTACAGGCATGCACCACCATGCCTGGCCTGAGCCACATTTAAACTATTACTTCAAGATAACTTTTTTTTGGTACCAGGGATCAAACTCAGGATGGTGCGCTTGCGAGGCAGATGGTGGAACCACTGAGCTAAATCCCCAGACCTCAAGATTACTTCAGTCTCTGGTACCAAAAACCAAACTACTTTTTAAAAATCAGTTAACCTTATCATGTAGCTCATTTTCCCCGATTTCCTTTGGAATACCTAAGTGTCTCCCCACCCCACTTTGCCGTGCTGGGGATTGTACCCAGGGCCTTCACACTGAGCTATAGCCCCAGCCCTTTTCAAGAGACAGGGTTTTTGCTAAGTTGCCCAGGCTGGGCTTAGAACTTCTCTGGCCTCAGCCTCTCAGAGGCTGGTGATTGTACGTATGTGCTACCATATTCAGATTCCAGGGTTTCCTTTAGCGTCTGCATTCATTCCTAGAATTTTTTGTTCATCTCTGGGCAAAATCTTAACATTAATTTCTTGTTCTTAAGCTCCAGAATGATGCTAACTAAACGTCTATTGACCCAAACATGCTTCCGACCCAGTGTTCCCCAAATTAACTCATTGCTTCACTGCCAAAGGTGCTCATCCTCTTCTCCCTACGCTGGTTAATGACACTCTGTTCTCATCCACATGCATACTGGGAGCCTCAGTCTTTATCTTTGACTCATCTTTGGTTATGTGCCCTTTGCTGATGTGTATGTTTAGGAGTTGATGCTGTGGGATGATTTCTGGGTTTAAAATCCAACTTCTGATTATTAGCTGTGAATTTTGTCCTCTGCCTCAATTTCCCACAGAGAAAATGGGCTTGATAGTAATGCCAAAACTGGTCAGGATGACTCATGTTTAACTTAGAATAGTGCCTGACTCAGTAAGGGCTCAATCTGGTTGCTGCCTCTTTCCTTACTGCCCAGTATCTGACCCTCTCCAGCACTCAGCTCCAGTGAGTCCTCCAAGAGGCTGTTCCTCCTGCGTCCAGCCAAGTTGGTAACTGACCCTTTTGCGGGTTTGGTTTGAGACAGGGTTTCACTATGTAGTCGAGACTGGCCTGGAACTGTGTAGCCCAGGCTGGTCTCGAACTCACAGTGATCCTCCTGCCTCAGCCTCCCGAGTGCTGGGATTACAGGCATGTGCCACCACGCCTGGCTCCATTTGGACTTTTGAATATTTGTTCAGGTGTTACCTCCGTTCAGGTCATGTCTCAAATAAATGTATTATTTCAGACGCCTAGCACCATGTCTAGTATCTGACAGATACATTATTAGTGTCAGCTAAGCAAATCTAACCTGTTAAGGCCTATCATTTTTTCTTCCTAAATATCTCTTGCATTTCAAGCCATTTTATCTACAAGGATTACTGGAAAGCTTATTAATACTGTTGACACCTGTTTCTTGTTTCCTTTTCACAGCCATCAGAATTAGAAGTCATTACAGTTCTCAGATATTTAACTGTAAAATAAAGTTTGAAATCCCCTACTATCCATGAACTGGCCTCAAATTATTTGTAGTCTTATTTTCATTTGTTCCTTCAATAAACTTTATGCTCCAGGTATACTTGTCTCTTTTTCACCATATTCTTCACTTTCTATTCATGTTGGGATTTCATCTTAAAACAGGTAGCAAACTGGTGGAACCATGTTGTTATTGGCACTCAAGCATTTTGCGGAGAGGTACTGGGGATTGAACTCAGGTCTTTGCGCTTGTGAGGCAGGTGGCGGAACCAAATCCCCAGCCTAAAGAAATAATTTGTTCATTTAAAGTTTGTTTGTTTGGTACCAGGGATTGAACTTGGGTCTTTGTACTTGGGAGGCAGGCATGAGAACCACTGAGCTAAATCCCTGGCCCTCAAACATTTTTCTGATACTGGGAATTGAACTCAGGGCCTCAAGCTTGCCAGGCAGATGCTGAATTGCTGAGCTACATCCCCAGCCCTCAAGCATTTAAAAAAAAATGCAAACCAACATTTAAAAGTTGGAAGGTAGCCAAGGATTTAGCTCAGTGGCACCACACCTGCCTAGCAAGTGCAAGGTCCTGAGTGCAATCTCTGGCACCCCCCAAAAAAGTTGTGAAGTAGCCAGGTATGGTGATGCTGGCCTGTAATCCCAGCACATGGGAGGCTCAAGCAGGAGGACTGCAGTGAGTTCGAGACCAGCCTTGGCTACAAAGCAAGACCATCTCAAAAAAAAAAAAAAAAAAAAAGTTGTGAGGTATCAGTTTGAGGCTAGGAGTGTGGCTCAGTGGTAAAGGAGCTGTCTTAGCATGCACAAGACCCTATATTCAATCCTAGCACTGTGAAAAAAGAGTAAGATTTAGTATAGTTTCTTGAGGGCTGGGGATTTGGCTCAGTGGTTCCACCACCTGCTTCACAAGTGCAAGGACCCGAGTTCGATCCTTGGTACCAAAAACAACAAACAAAAAAACCCAAGCTTCTTGAAAAATCAAGATCTGAAAATACAGGGTCCCTGTTCTTTCATGACAGAGCTGCACTGCCAGGTGTCACTTTCTACTGGGCATGTATTTTTTCACCTAGCCACCTTAAAAAAAAAAATTTTTTTTGAAAAACGCCAGGCATGGTAGCACATGCCTGCAATCTCAGCACTCAGGAGGCTGAAGCAGGATCACCATGAGTTCAAGGCCAACCTGAATTGTATAGTGAGACTCTGTCTCACACAAAAAATGCAAAATATACAATGAAGATGTCAAAGTAATGATAGGATAATTTGGTATATATCCTGAAATTACAGAAAGTATTTTTCTTGTGATGCCTTGTTCTTAGAATTGCTGTTTTTGTTTTTTAAGACAGGGTCTCACTATGTAGGTCAGTTCAGACTTGAACTATGTAGCCCAAGCTGGCCTCAAACTCATAGTAATCCTCCTGCCTCAGCCTCCTGAGTGCTGGGATTATAGGTATGCACCACCATACCCAGCACTGTTCTCAAAACTGTTTAATTTGAATCTCTCAAGACTTTATTTAGTAAGGTAGGGATTAGAGGAACAAGTTTTAAAATGACACTGTTAGGCCAGGTGAGACCTACATAGTGAGTCCCTGTCTCAGGAAAAAAAAAAGTAATAAAGTTATAAATAACACCAATGTAATGTGTGGTTTTGGACTGGACCCAAGCTTAGATAAAATTTAGCTATTTAGCTATAAAAGGATTTTTGTAAGAAAAAAAAAGACTTCATGAGACAATGAAGAAATGTGAATATGGATTTGTATTAGGTTAATTTTAAGCACTGGTCTTTTTTGTTTTTAGACAGGGGTTTCACTGTGTAGTTCAGGCTGCCCTCAAACATGCAACCCTCTTGCCTCAGCTTCCCACATGCTGAGATTACAGGTGTGCACCACCATACCCACTCAGCACTGGTCATTTTGGCAATATAGAAGTGTTCTGACTTTTTTTGTTTTGTTTTGTTCTTGGCACACCGGGGATCGAACTTGGGTCCTTGCACTTGCAAGGCAGGCAGCAGAACCACTGAGCTAAATCCCTGACCCCTTAGAAGTATTCTGATTTTTAAAATGTACTAAAGTAAAAAAAACTAAAGCCAACCAATCCTATTTCTCCTAATTCTCCTAGAATTAGAAGTCTGGAATAGATGGCAAACTTTTTCTGTAAAGGGCCAAATATTTTAGATTTTGTGATAGCTACTCAGCTCTGCTAATGTAATGCAAAAGCAGCCAGAGACACAGGGTATAGCTGTGTCCAATATTTTTTTTCACAAAAGCAGGCAACAGGTTGTAAGGTTTGCAGACTTCTGATCTAGAACTAGTGGTACTTCTCCTGATTCCCATCAGTCAGTGACTTTCTCTTCCTCTGCCCCACCACCACCCACTTTGGAGACAAGGTCTCACTATGCAATTCAGGCTGGCCTCCAATTCATGGCAATCCTCCTGCTTCAGCCTCCCAAGAGCTGGGATTATAGTTATGCTCCTCCACACCTGGCTCATTCCTCTGCTCATTTATTGCTCATGAATACTTAGCACATTTATTATGCCTTACTATAGGCCCTAGGGAGTAAGATCTCTGAAGGGAGGTGCAATTTTGCTACATGAACCCCCAGCCCCTCAATCCTACCGTAGTACTTTTCCAGGGTAGGGATTCAATGAATATTTGTTTCTAAAAATCAAATCCAAGCTGGGCACAGAAGCGCATGCCTGTAATCCTAACTCTCAGGAAACTGAGGCAGGATTGTGAGGCCAGCCTGGGCTACACAGAGAGACTATAAAAACAAACAAACAGAAACTATTCTAAAAAGATGTGGCACCAGTCATCACATTCAAAAGAACAAGCAAGCAGCAGGTAAAATGAAAGGAGTTTCAGGGAAAAAAGGAAAGAGGACTACTAGTATCACTGGGGTATATATATATATATATATTGCCTCTTATGCTCTACTTTGTGATGTGGCTTTTTATTTTCTAATCAAGTGTTGCATGTATGAAAGAGCAGACTGAGTGCAGAAATACCCCCCATTCTAACTAGAGTTTCCAGAATACATTTAGATTTGCATTATATGTACAATAAATGTTCAACAAATTTAAACTATAGCTCAGGGAAGGGAAGGAAACTTTCTTCTCTTGCCAGGGAGAAGGTGGTGGCAGGAAATGCTTAGGAAAAGACTTTATCAGGGTTTGACAACCAGAGCAAGTATGGTTGTTTTGGCTTCCCTTCCTCACATTTACTTTCTTGATTAGGAACCACTGAGGGGTGGAGGCTTCCCTGCCTACGATAGAATTCCACACTTATGGGAGAGGTGCCTGTAGGATGAGGGGAAAGGAGCATGTGTATCTTCTGTTAAAAATATTCCCCACGCCCAGGAGCACTGAGGTAAAGGCACACCATGGAAACAACACAGTTTGGATCCCCAGAGAGAGCTTTAGCCGCTATGGATCAGGAGGGAGGAAAGAATGCAGGAGAGCACACATTGCAAAGCAGGTATGAGGTATCCACCAGCCCCAGACAAATGTCTTCCTAAAATTGGTCAGATGTAAGATAGGTTCCAAAGCAAGGAAGGAAGGGAATTAAGTTAGGAGAAAAGCCTAAGTAGAAGAAGAAACCTTCACAAGAAGGAGAGTGATGGTGATTTAAGAATTTAGAGATTTGAGTGAAAGATTTATTATTAGTGTAGTCAACACCATGGAACAGCATGTACAACACAACCATCAACCCACAGAGACACTAGTGCAAAGGGGAGGAAGCCTTAACTGAGCTTCCTGGCTCCATGTGGGGGTGAAGACAGGAGAATATGGGCCTGGTAAGGCAGGCAGGCTGCAAAAGGGAGTGGAAGAAATGTGACCAAACTTAAGTATTGCAGCGTTTTCAAGTTCCTGAGCATGATGTCCTGGAGCTGGAAATATATCCTACCTCTTTTAAGCTTGTATCCTTCTATCTCAACCCCTGGGATCCAACTACCCAGACCAATGGCAAGCTGGTCTGGAATAAAACTCCCAAAAAGAAGCCATTCTGTGGTGTAGAAAAGCTCCTAATCCCTCTCCAACCCCATTCCCACCTGCACATTAAAATAATCACACCTACCCCCCACACTTACTCTGCCAGTTGCCACGGAAGGCCCCAGGTAGCCCAAAATGGAGCTGAAGTCCTTAGGTGCATACGGCAGAGCACAGCCTGTTTTCAGACACAAAGATGTAATTCTTAATCCTGTTTGTGAGGCGAATCTTAGAACCCAGCTATATAGCTCCAAGGAAATGGGAGGAGGGCTGCCTATTAATGCTCTAAATCCAGGGTTTTACACTGAGACACTGGGCTGGGAGCAAGTTTCTTCAGAGGTGCAGGCATCGATGCTGGACTGTCACATCCATCACAGGAGCAGAGGAAGCTCCTCATTGCAGACAGGGTCATAGGGAGTGGAACAGGCATCATAGAGTCAGCCAACGACTCTCTTGGCTCTTCCTATATTGCCAAAGGTTGTGCTGAAAAGGAAAAATGTAAACATACCCCATCCCTGTCCCGCCATATCCAGAATCCCCACAACAGGAACACCAAAAAATAAAAACTAAAAAAATAAAACAAAAAAACGTTTAAAATTGTTTTTTTTCTTTTTTTCATTTCTTAAAAAAAAGTAAATAAATTAAAATGCCAACAATGTAGCTGGGCTAGAATGTGGTGTCAGCCCCAACAAGGCCATTCCTTAAAAAATATATGGAGGACAGATTGGGTTTGTGAAATATAAACAAACAACAGCCGAAGGAAATTATCAAAATAACTACCATCACAGGGCTGGAGAAGGGTCTATGAAACTATCATGGGTGTGCCAACAAAAAGCAGTGCCTACCCTGTTTCAGCAAAAGCCAAAAAGCAGCTTCTTGCTGAGCATATGAACCCAACAGCCTAACTCATACCCTAGCCCTGTCATTCCCTTGTTAAAAAGTGTAGGAAGGAAGAACTCGTCTGGAAACGTTTAGCATCCCAACCTGTGCACCTGCAGTCCCAGTGGGCACTGCACCTTAAGGTGGGCTGCATAGCGAAGTGCTTGGCACAAAGATCCAGGCTTCCCCGGAGCTCAGTGATGGCCAGTTACTTCTAGGGTTGTGGTTCCACCCTTCCATTTCTTCTGGATGTCTGTTCCCCAGAGCTGCCCTCTAAATGCTTAGAGTCAACAGGTCTGCCTGCTCCAATTCCTTGGTTTTGGAGGAAAGGGATGATCAGATTCCTCACTCCACCTTGATCCTCTAGGGAAAACAAATCTCTTTGTGCTTTCTGCAAATATCCGGAACCACAGACTCTTGGCAGGAAAATACAAAAGTGGGGACTTTCCTACCCAGACAAAATTTACAGGCATTTTTTGGGGGGGAATATGGCAAACTGCAGGAATCTGTGTTCCCCCTCCCCGAAAGGCTGAGCAAAGTATCCCAATGGCCTTCAGTGCCAGAAAAGCAGGGAGATTTGTGGCTCGGTCTTAAAGACAACAGGGAAGACTCAAGGCCCAGCTGCTGGAGTGATAGGGTTTTCGAATTTCCATCTCTTTCTGATAGCCAGTCAAGCTCTCCTATATCTCCTCTACACCATGCGCAAATATCATGACAAGGCCTGGCTCCTGCACCATGTCATCTCCCATGTGCTGGTTCTCACAGGCCATCACCACGACAGCCTGCTTGCCAGGGATGCGCTTGGCCACGTAGTTCTCATAGAAGCGCCGGTTCATCTGTCTTGTCTCTAGAGTGGCCAGACCTTGGGGCCAGCTGCGTTCGTGAGCATTTTCGATGAGCTCGTTGACAATAGAGGCAGGACAGCCACTTTCCACTAGGGAGCGCTTGATTACAGCCTGGAGCACAGCGTCTGGGGTGGAGATCATCCCTCCCCAGCGGGTCACTCTGGCTGGCTGCAGGGAGTTCACCCACCTGTGTGGAGGGGGTTGGAGGTGGTCATTACAGCTCATTCCCTTTCACTGCATTGGTTTCTTCTCCTAAGTAGGACGACCACCCACCCTGTGGTTAGCTTGACTGTTTTTTCCTTCCTGCATTGTCTCAGAAACCTCAAATCTTTCCCTAGTTGACCCCATCTGAGTCACCACATATAACTCACCAGATTAAATCCCACAAGACTATGTTCTGTTCCTGTTTTCTTTAAAATCCCAATCTTAATGCTTAACATACATTGTGCCTGGCACATAATAAGTGCTCAACATATATTCACTGAATGAAGCAATAGTTCCACTGTACTGTGTCCCACTGGGTACTATTTGTCACACACACACACACACACACACACACACACACACACAAACTTCACACTTACAGTGAACTATGAACTGTATAGGACTCCAGAACTGAAAGAGATCTTAAACTTTGGTGTTTTGTTTTGTTTTTTTGCTGCATTCTAGATCAGTTTCCTGGACTTGCACTCTGCCTCCTCTCTGTGTTGTAAGCTACCGGAAGACAGGGACCATAGCTTCTATTTCTTTTTGGCCTGCCTAGCACTCCATAGCCTTTAACACAGGGCTTTATTACATGGCAGTACTCACCTAATTCCAGATAAACTGCATCCTCGGACAGGCTTCCCCTTCCATCTACCCAAATAAATAAGAGATCCTGTACTGCAGCTGAGGTTATCCTCTTCTCTGCCCTTGTCCTTCACCCCAACATCTGAGAAGCGGTGGCCCTGGCCCAGCTCTTAACTGTTCTCCTCCGCCACTCCCCTGCTCTTCCTTTCAGGCCTCGATACCAGGATGTGGAGTGAGTGACTCCATGTCCTATATGACACTCACTCTAGGATCTCGTTGTATTCAATGGTCTCCTCCAGGTTCTGAAGGTTGGGGTTGACACTGCGGATGGCGCGCATGTATGCCTTTAGCAGCTGGATGTCTCGCTTCTGTGGGAGAGAAGCAGAACCAGGCTTGATGGTTAAGACAAGCATTTATCTGAGAATGAGGGCAGCTGAGAGATCTGAGGAACCCCAGGCTACAGGCTTCTTCAGGAAGACAGGGATAGAACTGCCTACTCAGTGCTTAACAAAGTTCCATCAGAGAAGCCACTAGATAAATGTTAGATGAGTGAATGCCATGAGTGTTCTCTGGGCCCTACCTGCTCTGCCAGCTGGTGTTTGTGTTCAGCTGATGTCTTCTCCAGCTCTGCGATGCGTGTCTGCTGCTGCTGGACCACAGAACGCAAGTGCTTAATGCAGTTGTGGTTTGGCAGCTCATCTTTGGGCATCTCCAGGCTGCAGTCCAGGTGGGGAAAGAGCAAAACCGACCCATTCAATGAGACGTGGGAAAATGGCTTCTTCAGTGACAGAAAAGACTGCTGAGTGGGCTTTCTCTTATCCTAAATTTATTTTCTTTTTTTCTCTCTCCCTTTTTTTTTGGATACAAGGTCCCTCTGTGTAGTTCAGGAGCTGGCCTTGCACTTACTACGTAGCCCAGGCTAGCCCTGAATGTGCATCAATCCTCCTGTTGTTTGTTCTCTTTATTTTCTTCTCCCAGACTTCCTCCTTGTCCCTTTGCTGTCTCCTTTCTCTGAACTCTTTTCAGCCTCCAAGATACAGTGTTACAGGGTTTCTACCTTTTTTCTTTTCTGTTTTTTTAAATAGCTCTCCCTGATCGGATGGACCTCATTAACTGAAAGGGAGACTGCTATGTGTCCTACCAGGCTACCTTGTTAGCATTAGGCACAGGTGAGCAGGAAAGGCACAGACCAGGATAAGGAAAGACAGTGTTTAACTGACTGCATGGCTCTCCTCTTACTGATTCCGCCTGTGTACTTTTTTTGGGGAGAGGGGCTGAGTCTTGCTACATAGCTCAGGCTGGCCTCAAACTTATAACCATCCTCCTGCCTCAGCCTCCCAAATGCTGTGATTACAGGTATGTGCCACCACAACAGGTTTATTTCTGAGAAGCCCTGGATTTACTGCCCCAACTATCCACATTATTTCTAATATTTCACATTTCTCAGATAGACAAAAAAGGACTACAGGAACATGAGAAGTCTGGAAATTAGAGCATTCAGCCTCACAAACAGATGGTAGTACTGGACCCCAATGGAAGAACAACATGAATCAATCTTTAGTGTCATCACAAGATTGTTGAACTGCTCTCCTCTTATTAAAGCAAGAGCATAAAGATCATAGTTGGAAAAGCAACAAGGAGGTGAGATCTTAGGGAAGATCAGAAAGCCAAGAAGGCCAGGAATGTCCTTGCCTACATCTGTGAGCCCTCCCCAGCTGCAAGCAGTGTCAGAGATAGGTGTACAATGGGAGGCCCTGATTCAAAGAGGGCAAAGGGAAAGAACTCTCACCCACAGCCCTGTTCACAGGTCACAGGCCGCTTCGGGTTGTGCTCACAGTCAGTAAGGTGAGACATGAGGTTGTCAAGTCGGACAACGGCACTGCAACCAAACACAGCGTTGTCACAGGCAATCTGCAGCTTTGACAGCATGTTCCGCATGATCCGGGGCACTGGGCGGAGGTGGGCTACAGTCACGACGCTACGGTCCACGGGACACGTCTGCTGCTGAGAGAACCACTGAGTGATACAGGCATTGCAGAAGGCGTGCTCACAGTGAGGGGCCTAGGGAGGGAAAGGCAAAAGGGGCACAGTGAATTAGCTGGAGGAGAGAACCTGATGTGCTGACTACAACGCCAATCAAGCTGCTGAGCAGCTTCTATGACTAGAAGTCCCTGAGCACGTGGCAAATTATACTTCTACTATGAGCAAGGCATTTTGGGGTCACCCTTAAGATAGGTTTCCTGTGCTCAAGAATACAAATGGGAGGGCTGGGGATTTAGCTTAGCCACTGCCTGCCTCTCAAGCACAAGGCCCTGAGTTTGATCCCTGGTACAAAAAAAAAAAAACTTCAATTGGTAAAAAAAAAAAAAAAACTTCAAATGGGTTGTAAGACAAGACAAACAAGTAAAAAGTTATATAACAAGAGACATAAACAACATTCCAGGACAATAGGAGAGATGACACAAGGCTGCCAATGATTAATTGCCAACTGATGGCATACACACTAATTGCCAAAAAAAGTCCACATGGTGAGACTAAGTCAACCAAAGTAGGTATTCATGAAGAGGGCAGAGTTTGTTACGGGTCTTAGAAGATGATTCCAACCATAGATGTGGAGGAGAGGGGCAAAGATTTACAGGGAAAAATTCAAAGTAAGAAGGCAGAAGGTACATGGCTGGTGGCCAATATCCCACCAATGGGGAGCTGAAGTGAGAGGATCACTTGAGCCTAGCAGTTGAAGACCAGCTCAGATAACAAATACAGTGATATCCTGTCTCAAGCAAACAAATAGAAAATGCAGAACAAGAAAAGTCTAGGGCTATTTTGTTTGTTGTTTTATATAGTTGTTTACTTTTTAGATAGGTTCTTCCTGTGTAGTACAGGCTAGCTTCAAACTCTCCATCCTCCTGCCTCAGCTTTCTGAGTGCTGGGATTACAGGTACGTGCCACCACACCCTGCAGACAGGGTCTTGCTACGTAGTTTAGGCTGGCCTTGAACTCACTATGTAGCCCAGTCTGGCCTTGAACTCCTGGTGATCCTCCCAAGCACTGGGATTATAGGTATGTACCACCATGGCCAGTATTTTTTCTTTCTTTTTTGTTCTTTTAATGTGATATTTGGGATTGAACCCAAGGCCTTGCACATGCTAGGCAAGTGCTGTACCACTGAGCCACATCCCTGCCCTCAATTTTATAAAGATCGTAATTCAGCCAACTTCTCAGAGGATTCCCTGGTCCCTGTACAGATACCATCTACACAAGACACAGGAGGCATGTAGCAAACAGTGTTGAATAATGACTAGAGTGCTATATCCCACACGCTTTACTAGGTCCTTAAGATGTGTCTTCAAGATGCTCACCACTTTTTTACAATCATTCTACAATTTGCAGCCACAGTGATCATTTCGTTGGTGGCTGTAATCCCAGTACTTTGATAGGGTAAGATAGGAGGATTCCAAATTAAAGCCTAGGTAATTCTGTGACTTAGCAAGAACTCATCTCAAAAATAAAGGATTGTGGCCGGGCATTTAGCTCAGTGGTTCTGCCGCCTACCTTGCAAGTGCAAAGGCCTGAGTTCAATTACCGGTACCAAAAAAAAA